CCAGGAAGATTGCTTTTCCTAGGAATCGCGTTTATTTAGCTTCCATGGTTGTCGGAAGGGCTTCTTTATCGAACTTTCAACCTCAGCCTTTTGTGAGCAGCAGAGTCCTTTCCATTTGGCTCTAAATTCCACGACTGAACTAGCCTGAACGGGACTTCTCTCACTCTAACAGCTGGAAAATTGCTGGGATCCCTACAGAGAGTGTGTTGGGACTGAAGAACTACTGCTATGCTGGGCTCATGGGCTGTCATGACAAAATACAACAGGCTACGTGGCTTAAAAAATAGAAATTTAAGCCCTCCCTGGTGGCGCAGCGGGTTAAAGCGCAGCACTGAGAAGCTAAAGCCACTTCCGCATGAGTTCGATTCCCGCCTGCCCCGGAGGTGACACATGATGCGGTAGACCTCTCCTGACCCGCCTGCGGCTCCCCTCTGCAGTGTACTTTGTCAGTTGGCCTGTTCTGCTCCCCCCACTGTCTCTGGTGAATCTTCTCAGTGTGCCTGTACCCCAGTTCTGTATGCATAAATAAATAAATCTTAAAAAAAATAGAAATTTATATTCTCACAGTTCTAGGGTTTGGAAGTCCAACGCCAAAATCCTGTCATGGCTAGTTTCTTTGTGTGTGCATGCGTGTTACTCTCTGGTGTTTTTCCCCTTTCTTATAAGGATATCAAACCTGTTGGATTAGGGTCCCACACTTGTCACCTCATTTAAGCATAATTATGTCCTTAAAAGCCCTGTCTCCAAATATAGTCACATTAGAGCTTAGGGTTTCAATGTATGAATTTAAGGGGGTGAGGCACAATTTAGTCCATACCAGGAAACTTAAGGTGTAGCTTGTAGCTCTGTAGTTCTTGTTAATGTTGATATTTTGGGCAGGGAGATAAAACTGATCAGAATCAGCTGTAAGATATTATATAGAGAACTGGGAATGGAAAGAGAGTTTAGACTGTAATCCACATTTCGTAGTTAAAGAAGATTTGTCGAAGATAAATTCAAGAATGAATTCATTAAACACCCAGTAGAGTACTGATTATAATGTCAGGTCTTATGCCCTTTATATTTCTTTCCCAGTACTAATTACAATCTGTAGTGATCTGTTTTACTTTCCTGCTGTAAGGTTCATGAACACCCAAACCTTACTCATCTTGTTTATTGATTTATTTCTGACAGAGAGAACACACTGCCTAGCCTTTTCTAAGTGCTCATTAAATATTTGGTGAATGAATAAATGACCGAATAATTTGAAAAATAACCTTTAATGAATATTTATTATAGGCCATACTTTAAGCTCTTTACATAACTGATTATATTAATCTTTCTAAATTTTTTAGAGGACAAACCTGAAGTTCAGGGAAGCTAAAACCTTTCCCAAGTTTAAAGGTACAAAGGAAACATACAAACAAAAACAAAGCCGAGCCTAGGAAGAACAGAGGTGGGGGAATTTGAGACAGATCTGACTGAGCCCAAAGTTCATCTAAATGTTTAATCAAAATGCTAAACTATCTGCATCAAATTCAACACAAGAAGCAAAAAGGGAGGGAGATATTTAGGGAAAATAGAGAAAAATTGTGCAAGTTACATTTTACACATGTCTGAAAGTATGTGTGGGGATTGCCTTGCAAATGAGGAGCCATTGCTTCCAGAGTTAAAGAGCATGCACCAAGTTGTGAAGTTTGGAACAAGCAGTATGTATTGAGAAAATCCAACAATCTCAGGGGCTTAGAAGAAGGGGAAACGTGGAGCAAGCAGGAGATTGGAGAGGTAACTTGGCTTCAAAATGAAAATGGTCCAGAATGTCAGAATGGCTTCAGGACAAATTTTCCCCATGCTCTGTTTTTTATAGCAGGTGAGTTGAGAATGTGTTAGTGTACAAGCTGAGCAGTACCCCGGCCCCTCACACTTGGATGTTCTGATGAGGTTCTGTCATTTGCCACCAAAAGAAAGACAAGGCATACTGTTAGGATGAAAGAACTTTAATAAGATTAGTGGACACAGAAAAAGAAGAGATGAAAGAATAATGGCTTCCCCAATAAAACACCCAAAGTTGTTCATCCTCTCGTGGTTAAATACCCAGCCAAGCAGGAATGGCCCAAAGCAGGACAACTGAGGCCTGAAAGCCCGCCACAAGTCTAAGGCAGAAAACCACAGGAAATGGGCAGAAGAGGCCAGGCAAGTCTGGGATGAAAGAAGCAAAATCAAAGTAAAATTCAAGGTAAAGGCTGCCATTGCCATTCTCCCAAGGGTCTCTCACCTACATGTCTCTCACCTACGTGTCTCTTGCAAGTGTTTCTACACATCTCAATTCCATGTATCTTCTTCCATATCCTCCAGATCCCCAGTGCAAGTTCAAGGCCATGAAGCAATGTGCTCCCCTTTACACTTCTCTCCGCTCCACATGTCTCTCCTCCTGCATCTCTTCCTGCGTCTCTGCCAGAGTCCGTCCTCCAGGTATTGTATATCTTCATGTGGCTGCTCGCACAGCTTTGTCCTTCTCTTGGTGAACCAGGGAACAGGGAACCTCTTCCTTTTATGGGGATTACTCTCTAACAAACTGTTTCTACATCTTATAGGAGCTGTTTAAAAAAAAAAAAAAAGCAACAAAAGAAAAAAAGACCATGTGATACAGACTGTGCCTGATTAGCAACCCCCAAAATATTTACTGGCTTGGCAATCACAGGAAAAACTTTGCCCAGCCCTGCAGTATGTCTTGAGAAGTTTAGACTTGATCTTGTAGTAGGTAAGCAGAGAAAAGATACAATTAGTTTCACATTTTAAAAGAGAAGATCTGTTGACAGAATCAGATAGTGGTAGTATTGGGAGAGGCAAGTAAATGCTGGAAGAAACCAAAATGCTTGAGCGGCCATTGCAGCAATTGAAAGGAAAGTCTTGGAGAGCTTCAAGGATATATAGATGATAGCCTTGGTGTACAAGCCTAGCACAAATAACTACTAACTGTGGAAGAAAAAGGAAGGAAAAAGAAGAGGATGACTTTGAATTTTGTTTTTGGAGTTGTTTTGGACTTGTTGAGTTTTGTAGATCACTTACATCTAGTGACAGTTGTAGTCAATAGAAAGGACTATATCAGCCTGGGTGGGTGAAAGGTTGCTTCTACTGCTTCCCAGCCCACCCCACACTCACTTCCTTTTGGCTAATTTGTTCCTAACAAATGAAATTTCCAAAGACAATGAGGAAAGGAGGAGATTAAGGAAAGGAGGAATAGTTTCTCACAGTTTCATTGTGAATTAGAAAATATTCTCTATTTCAAATAAAGTTACAAACTTTTAAAACACTACCCATTGAATAGTTGGGGACCAACTGAGCTGTTTTCTTATAGTTGTAAATCCAACTGCACTCTCAGTGAAATTGTTTATTAAAGCTGACAACAACAAAAACACAAATCAGAAACCACATTTAAAATGTGAATTAAAAAGAATTACCCTTCAAACCCATCAGGAGGGCCACACCTTTTTAAATCTATGTATATAATTTATACATTAAAACATTTGTCACTGAGCCAACAAAAATAACAGTTTCTTCTCTATTAGAAAAGAAAATATTACTAGAGAAGTAAAAAAATCACACTAGAAAATTATTGAACAACCAACTTTCTCAAGGTAATGGCTAGGGCATATCAATGTAAGAAGGGGGGGGGAGAACATTAAAACATTTCTTCTCAGAATTCAAGATTCTTAGAGAAATAACTGCATTTTAAATCACTTTTAGGTATGCTGTGGATACATTTTGGATATACAATTGTGATCTCTGGCAACCTCAGGGCAATATTTTGTTTCCATTTTCTCCTTAATCTCTTGATCACCACTTGATTCTTTACCATTTCCTTGACAGGAGAATGGCTTATTTCTGTAAATTGGCAGACAATGCTAGAAGTTATGTGAGTGTCATTTTTATGTCATTTATCCAGTCAATCCATATTGCCCTTCCAATTTGTGATTTACCTTTCTCTTATTTTTCTCTATTCTCTTCTTTTAGTGGTTTATCACTAGGAGTAGATGGGGAATACAGAGGAAGAAGTGTATGAAATCAAGTCTGTAACTTTTGAAAAATATTTCAATGAGACCATCTGAAGTTATGTCCCCTAAGTTATTTGTTTCTGAAAACTGGAATCTTACAGAAAGTAACTTAACAGACGTTAACATTTCCAGCCAGTATTTTGGGGGTCACAGATTGGAAAATTTTAGAAAATTAATCTTTGAATTTAAAGCACCAGGACTTGAAAAGCCACGTGCAATTATGCAAGTCAATATTTTAAGTAATATCAAGTATACCAGAATTCCTTGTTTTTCATTAAAATGAACGCAGAGAAGGCTGTGTGTGTTTTCTTTCTTTTTTGATAGAGCAAATTCGAGTACAATCCAAATTCAAAACAAGTTTGGGCACTGATTTATGTTAGCGTGAGTTAAGCTGGGTGGTGACCAACGAGGTTTTTCATTTTAGAGAATCCTGAGGGGCTTCTGGGTGAAGAACTTGACTTCGTTGAGCTGTCAGATTTCAATAATAAAAATAATGCTGAAAAAATCAGGTCCTCCTGAATAATTTGTGTCAGGTCAGTTCCTAGGCCTTCCTGTACACTACTCGGGTTCCTGGAAGGAAACATGAGGAAAGGGAACCGATAAAACCGTTCTAATTCCCAGCAGCAGAGCGTTAGAAAAAATTTCCATTCGTTAATGAGATCTTGTCTCCTTAGAAAAGTATGGTTGGAGGCAGGGTTTCGCTTTCTCTTCTTAAGTCTCTTTTCCTCAAGAACTTGAATTCTGATACAGTGTTCAAAATGGCAAGATTTTTTTGCTTTATGCCACCAAAAGACGCCACCTCCTCTCCAGCCCTGAGGCATTTACGCAGGTTATGGAAATTTTAGGGGGAGAGGCGTGTGGGAAGCGAGGGTTGCGGAGCGCAATGGACTACAATTCCCATAAGCCCCGGCCAGAGGCTACTCGGCCTCCCACGGCGCGCCCCGCGAGCCTTGCGCATGCTGGGAAAGCTCCGCGCTGAGAGGAGAGGCGTGTACTGGGCTACGCGCCGGAGAAGGAGGAGGAAAAAAGGGACCATAGACTTATACGTAGAGGCCTAGAGAGGCTCTTAAAGTAGTGGGAACAGGAGGGCGGCCGGGTACCACCTTCAGAGCTGGCCGCCGGCGGTATCATGGCCACCCGGAATCCCCCTCCCCAAGGTGAGCTGTTGGGGCCCGAAGTAGTACGTGAGACAAAGCTGACAGCTCTCGACCTTGCTCCCGGGGCGCCTCTTCCTTCCCTACCCCAGCGTTCCTGGGTCTGTTTTGTTTTGAGGCAGCTCTTTTGAGCACCCCCTGCGAATTAGACTCTCCCCGCCTCCAACACAGCCCCACCCCCGCTTTCTCCGCCTGCTCATTTCCATCTTCAAACATGTTTTCTTTTTAAAAAGTCCTAACTATTAAATGATTTTTTTTTTTTTTTGGCCAGGTCCCTAACCGGTCAGAGGGCAACCCCTTCTTTCTCCCACTCCTCCTCTTGCCCTGCCACTACTTAGTGTTTGGGGGTGACCCTTCAGTGACGTGAAACTGACTTGACACTTTTGAAATCGGGGTAGAGGAGAAATGCCACTTCACTGCTGTAAAATTCTGACCTGACCTTACTGAGATTTGGGGTGGGGTCATCTCTCACAGTCGTGTAATTCTGACCTGGCCCTAACTTCAGTTCCTAAACCTTTGGGATGTAGGCCCTTTACTCTAGAGGGCCTAGTCTCTTGGATTGGATTTAACAAACTTTAATGCTTCCGTCTGAGCATGTTTAGCTGTAGGCCAAAAATAACAGTTGTCACACACAAAAAAAATGTATAGGATGTTTCTTATTTTTTAATTACTACACATTTATTTTTTCCATTTTGTATTTTAAAGAATATGAAAGTGATGATGATTCTTATGAAGTGCTGGATTTAACTGAGTATGCAAGAAGACACCATTGGTGGAATCGAGTGTTTGGCCACAGCTCTGGACCCATGGTAGAAAAATACTCTGTAGCTACCCAGATTGTAATGGGCGGAGTAACTGGCTGGTGAGAACATCTTTTTCATATTAAATTTCCCTGGGAGTTTGACTGCTGCCTTTTTGTACATGGGCCAGTATGTGCACACTCAGTGGCTATACACTGTTAATCCCAGAAGACCCCTCCCCTGAAGCCCTTCTCTGTGATCTGATTGGTGTAATCCACACTCAGAGACTGTACACATTTTGGCGTGGCCAGCTCTCCCTTCCCAATGCCCACTACTGTACCTGTATTCCTTCCCCTTCCTTCCTGTGATTCTTTATATATTTTCCCTTTCTCAAATTAGCAGGTGCAGTGGGTCTGATTCAGTGGTGGTGGCTAAAGAGCAAGAAATATGTAAGAGAAGAGATTAAGTATATGTGAATAACTTTTACTTGTTCTGTGCTAATAACTGGAAAAAAAACTGTGAGAACTCCAAAAGTAGAATTGGACTAAAGATTGTCAGCCTTATAGGGAGTAGTTTAAAGTTCTCTCTAGAAATTGTTGATGGTACAGATGTTTAGTTTGGATTGTGAATGTGCTTTGAGTAACAGCTGTAGAATGTTGGTTCTTTGGAATGAAAAGATTGATTACTTACTTTGTGATACTATTGGGGGTACATTAAGGAGGAATGGTTAATAAATATTAACTAGTTAACATTTCAGACCACATGATTTCATAATTGTGACTGTGGAGCTAATGCTGTTATTCTTGGAATAAAGATTAACTAAATAACAAGTTCTAAAACAAGTTTGACCCTTTATTTTGAAAATGTTCACATCTAGAGAATTTTTGAAGTCAGCAAGGATGTCTAAATTGTGAATAATCATTTTTTCTTAGCTTCTAGATTAAATTCATCTTACATTAATTTAAATATTTACTTGGCGGGGTACACAATTTTATCCCCAATACTGTGGTAACAACTTGAACCCTAGGATATAATTTTTGAGATCCACACTATTTGTAAATGCTTACATAATTTAAACTTGATGAATAGAAAATGATTTGTGTTTTGCATGCATATTGGAACAACGATAAGCTCCTCTATGACTTTTTAAATCCCATTTCGTGGTAGAAACACTGGTTGTGAAGATTCTGTGAGGCAGAGGTGTGCTACTTCTTCACAATGTGTAATTAGTAATGCCGCTTATGAAAAAAGCTCACAGTTAGGAAATATCTGGTCAGGGACTGGGTGAGTCAGATGGTTTTCCACAGGCTGGTGGTATCTTGATTCCTATAATTCAGAGTTAGGCTCGCTCTGCTCATAATTTGGTGCCACAGGTGATTGGTTGGTTAATGTGAGTCAGGCCTGAAGCGCCATTGGGTAAAAGAGACAAAAAATAATTGAGAATCAAATCATTGTGTGTTTTCTTCTTGTTAGCCAAGCAGGTTGAGAAGACCCATGAATCTGTAAACAGTTTGCTTGGAAAACCTAGAGCAGAGCAGGGTGAATTAGTAGTAGGTTCGTTTTAATAGCTTATGCCTTGAAGCAAAGGCGACATGTTTGTGTGGATCACCGTCCCAGACTGTTGCTTTCCTCCTCCTCCCTTTTCAAGTGCTTCTTGTTGCCTCTGCTACTGAGGAGCACAGTCTTTACAATAATACAGATGTTTGGATTATGATCAGGTATCAGTTCAGCAACTGTAAAATAGGACTCTGATATACTGGTGATTTGTTGCAATGACATTAGATGTAGTATAGTGAATTTTTGCAGTTTTCTTAGGGAATGCAACTGTGGTCTACATAAAGGAGGACTGGTTAATTGGCATTAACCTAGCTGGTTAATAGTGTAGACTAATTAGGATATGAATGGGAAGCTGAAAATTATTTTATTTAGCTGTAGGTAGCAATAGATTTTTTAATTATAATAAGAAATTAATATTAGGATGTGTGGTTGCTAGAAAGATGGAGAGGGCCCTTAGAGTGGGTTGGAAGTGAAGTAATGATATCCTTGAGAGTGAAAAGAACACAGAGTCAAATCATGTTTTGGCGATGCATTGGCAATCCATTGGACCCAGCAGGCAAACAATAGTCTGAGATGAATATGATGTGATAAGCTTAGAGAATAGTGCTGCACTTTACAGATTGGGACCTTAATAAGAGTTGTTTTGATAGGAAACATACTTGCTTTTGGGCATTTGGAATATAGGGTTCTGGGTGTTAGAGGGGCCTATCATATAATCGGAAATTTAAATTCTCCACTTAATGAAGGTAAATGAGTTTTTGAGGGCTGTTAACAAAATACCACAGGGGGCTTAAAACAAGAGAAATTTGTTCTCTCAGAGGTCTGGAGGCTAGGAGTCTGAAAGATATCAGCACGATTGGTTCCTTCTTGAAGCTTTCATGTTACTCTCAGAGCTTCTGGGGTTTGCCAGCAATCTCCGGTATTTTATTGGCTTATAACTAGCTATATCACTCCAGTCTCTGCCTCTGTCATCACATAGCCATCTTCTCTCCGTGTTTCTGTGACATTGTGCATTAAGTCAGAGGACCCATGCTACTCTGCTATCGCACCATCTTAGTTATAGCTGCAGTGATCCTAGTTACAGCTGCAGTGATCCTTATTCCAAATAAGGTCACATCTTGAGGTTCCATGAAGGACACTGTTAAATTCAGTACGGAGGGCTGGAGTTAGAAATCTGAGTTTCTTTTGCACAGTATGGATCTGAAGTGCAGAAGGGAATATGAGCTTAGCAAAGGAGAGAATTAATCACAAAGGAAACATGGGTTGACTCTTAGCAGGAGCGATGAGACAAAACAGGCTTAATACAGAGTTTAGGTAAGGAAGTATAGGTCAGGAAGCCATGAGAAGTGTGACCTGAAGTGTAGTCTTGAAGGCGGAACTGCAGCTGGGCCTTAAGAGTAGAAAAGCTTTAAATAGGCAGAGCTAGGTTAGAAGCCCTAGAAACAGGGAGAGTAATAACTTGAGCAACAGTGATGACCTGTTTGTAAACAAATTAGGTTGTAGCAGGTTTGGTGGAGTGGGAGTTGGCTGGGTATGAAGGATATCTTGACTGTATTAAAACAAAACAAATCGTTTTTATTATGGGAAATTTCAACTCACACAAATCTGGAAGGAAGGGAATAATGAATCCCTTAGTACTCAATATTGTTCCAGTAGCCAATCCCTTTTCCTGTGAATTCTTGCACATTTCACACTATTTAGATGGTGTACTTTTGACAAGCCTGTATAACTGAAGGGAAACATTGAGGGTGTCTGAGTGGGTAAGGGAAATGATCAAAAGAAATGCGAAGATATTAAGATTTTGAAGCAATGAAAAGGAAAAGAGGGACAGAGTTTAGTATATTATTAATTGTTTTCATGTTCTGTCATTTCTTTCATGAAAGGTGTGCAGGATTTTTGTTCCAGAAAGTTGGAAAACTTGCAGCAACTGCAGTGGGTGGTGGCTTTCTTCTCCTTCAGGTATGTCAGTTTTAGGTCTTTGCCTCTGCTTACCTGTGTAACCCTTAGGAAACAAGAAAGTCAAGGTTAGCTATTTCATTCCTGCCCATTTTAATAGAAGATGGAATTTTTCTTTTAGGCATCAGTTTATGGAAAAATAAAATGAGTTTTGAAAGGTAGCATTGTAAGTTCTTTAAGCATACTTTGGTCCCACTTATTAAAAAGACAATAAGTTTTGTCATTATTTTTATTGTTTACCAGATTTTCCTTGAAGCATCTCCCTCGCCAATTAAACATGTCACCAATAAGGTCATTTATTCAAATTGACCATCTTTAAAATTTATACATACAGTATGTGTAATATTCAAAACGTTTACCTGCTTCTTCTGTTTCCTATTTATGCAGTTTCTTCCCCATAGAAAAAAATGTTTTTTTAAAACTAGGGAACTATAATGATATAGAAAGTGGAAAATGAGGTTTTAAAAAATCATTCATAATCCTATTTCTAAGGCAGGTAGATTTGAAATTTTAGTTTTGTTCATGTTCTTTAAGTATAATGCTTAAAAATTCTTTGCAGTTAGAGGATGTTTATCAGGATGTTATCTGGCATTCATGTCTGTTTGGCATGTATTTTTCCAAAAATATCATTCCCTGAAGATCAAATATAGTAAATCCAAAAATTGAAAATCTCTTGGAATGAATGTTAGTGGCAATTTTAAAGATGCAGAGAACTGTCAGTTGTACCAGATTTTAAAAATGATTGATGACTGCACAGAGATCGAAATCTAACTTCACCTAAGCCATTGATCATATAATAACCAGTGCCATTGCCTGAAATACAAAGGGACTGAATTCACATGTATGAAGCACAGATTTTGAGTTGTTTACTAAGCAATCACTTTAGAAATCTTTTCTTTTTTTAATTACTTTTTTAGTTTTAATTGTGACATTATTGGAAGTAGTTGCTTAGTGCTTGTTTGGTAGAAGTAAAAAGGAATGAAGTTAATATCTAGATTCAGTTCTTTGGATGAATATGTCAGCATTTGTTCATATGAGAATTTTATTTAAGCTGATTTTTGCCTAGGGTTTATATAGAATCAAGAGTATATTTAATTCTACAGCTATTTTTGAAAATTCAGTGATCATTTCTGTTTAGTGTAAAAGGGTACTGGGCTGAGATAGAGTTTTCTAAAATGTTCACAGGATAGAGAGAATTTCACATTTCAGTCTCCTGTATGTTAGTTTTTCAGAAGTCTTATTTGGCATTCAATATATACCATCCCCTCCACAGTTTGCCATTGTCGTTGCTTTTCTGCACCTAGACCTCATAACTCTTTGAAGTCACTAAGCAGAGGAACCCAAGACATGTCTGTGATACACAGACTTTTTCCACAAATATGACATGCCTTGAAACCTCAGTAGAAAGAAACTGAAAGAGGAAGTAAGAGCAACAAATGACTTTTAGACTACTGACTAATATTTCTAGGTCCACTTCCACATTTTTGCTATATTTACTTAGATCTTAAAGTTTTTTTAGTCACTCAAAGTGTTTTCTGGTAGATATTTATCACTTGCCATCTTACAATACACAGTGACATATAAATGTCTTAAAATTTTTTTTGGAGCTGTATGTGTCTGTATCGAAGGGTCAAATATATGTCAAAGGCTTGTTATAGATTAGAGTAATCCCCACCTCCTTCACTACCCCAGTGTTTCCCTCCCATGAGGCATTCACTTTGAACACTTACTTGATGCTCTATCAGACATTTCCTGATCTTTTCAGTTTGAGGTATTAGCTATTGATTTCCAATTATGGATTATGAGATTTTAGCCATCATTTATGAACTCTTTTGCTGTCTTTACACTCCTCCCCTCCATCTGACAGGCTTGCCTGTCTTCTGCTTTTCTCTCTCCCCTTTTTATATTGTCTGATTATTGTTTCTTCATAATTGTGTGGTTACCTGGAATTCACTTGAGCTTCTTGAATCTGTAAATTTATGCCTCTAAAATGTTTGGCCATTATTTAAGTACTTATCTTCTCTTATCCTTTCTTCTGCTGAATGTGACTTTAATTATATGCATGTTGGGCTTTTTGATAATGTCCTGAGGTCTTGTTCATTTATTTTCTCAGTCTGTTTTCAGACTGAGTAACTTCTAGTGATTTAGCTTCAAGATCACTGAGTCTTTTCTTTGGTATCTACCTTCTACCATTAAGCCTGTCCAGTGAATTTATTTTAGATATTTTATTTTCCAACGCTAGAATTTCCATTTGATTCTTCCTATATTTTCTGTCCTTGGTGAGATTTCTTATTTTTTCATTGATTACAAGCATAGATTCCTTTATCTCACTTAACATAGTTATATTACTATTACCTATTTTAAAATCCTGTTTATTCCATTATCTGGGTCACATCAGGGTTGGCATCTGATTTTCTTTTAAGATTATTTTCATATTTTGTTTTATTATATATCACATAACTAGGTTTTATTTTGGGCATTGAGGCTACTATATTGTGGAGAATGGATTCTATTTTATTTCTCTGAAGATTGTTAGTTAATGTTTTGATTTTAGCAGGCAGCTAACTTGGTTAGACTCAAATTGCAAACTATTTCACCTGTGGTGGAAAGCAGCCCCCCCCCCCCCAACCAGTTCATTTCCTTTCACCTTAATTTGGCTCCTGCTTCATGATGTATCATTCAGGACTTGGGGAGAGTTTACACATAGAATTTGTGACTCCCCTTCACTAGCTCCTTCCTTTCTGGTAGCTGCTGTTGTCTTCAGTCCAGAAAGGTGGTGCGTTTTCTATTAAGTTTTAGCTGTCCTGCAACTGCATCCTGCCCTCAGGACAAGCCAGAAAATGGGCAACTCGCTTTCTGTTGGTCCCTTCCTACACATTTCAGCTCTCCAAAATCTGCTTGTTTTTGTTAGTTCTGGAGCCCTTATTTTTAACCAGAGTTTATAGTTTCTATCTATAGTTGTCTTATAGGGTTAATCACCACCTCCACGCTGTGACCCACATTGTGGTGTCAAGTAAACCAGGAAGATCTTTCACTTGCCCTTTGATTTGCTCCTCACTCTGTTTGGCTCAGGCTGGAGTTTGAAGTGATAGTAGGTGAATGAATACAGGAAGAAATGCAGGTTAAATTCTTGTCTGGAGTCATTTACATTGACAATAGAATCTAAGATTCTTAGTTAAAAAAAATCAGGTATTTTATGTGGGTTTATGATGTTATGTGTGGTTATACATTAAAAGAGCATAAAGAAACCTTGATAGAAATGATATATGATGATACACATGGCTCAGTTGTTTATTACTTATGATTCTTTGTATTTTTTTTTTTAAATTTGGAGGGACTAAGTTAACTATACTGGCAGAAACACCAAAGATCAGATTTTGTAGTGTTTCGATAGCATCATATGAAGGGTTTTCTTAGGTTGTATTAGTCTTATTAAAAGGATTTATGGCATGAAATTTGTGTAGGCCATATTCCTTTACAGAAGCAATTACCAGAAAATAGTCTTAATTTAAGTCAAGAGTTAGTGTTAGTGAAGAGCTTTTATCAGGCTACTTAAAGCATCTTTAGTGACCCAGTATCTGATTGGCTGCTGATCGCTTATACTTAAACATCTATTTAATTAAAAGATACTTTTTATTATTTATTTTGGATGTTCGCTGTGTCTTTTTGGCTAATTTCTGAATTCCAGAAGTTATAGTACGATTAATATTAAAGTTATAAATTTTGGGAATTTTTTTTCTTAATGTGTTCATTACAGCCAAGCATTTATGCTTAAGGCCTGCTTACATAATTGCTCTGAGGGTAGGAGTCTGTCTCTTTTGTTCTTGATTATAGCTTGGCATAGAATGTATTAAGTGAAGAAATTAGTGAATGAATTATGATTGCTTATCTATAAGCTTCGTAGATTTATTGATAGCTAAATGTTTGTGTATTCTTGGGTGATAGAGTTGTTAGCAGCCTAATTGGTTTAGAATTAACCATTTTTATTACATTTTTGCAGATTGCCAGTCACAGTGGCTATGTGCAGATTGATTGGAAGAGAGTTGAAAAAGATGTAAATAAAGCAAAAAGACAGATTAAGAAACGAGCAAATAAAGCTGCACCTGAAATTAACAACATAATTGAAGAAGTAAGACAAAATACATTTTTAGCTCCCCCATTTTTTTAACTTGTCTTGCTTAGCAGAAAATGGGTTAGGGGTTATCTTTTATCTTCTTTTCAAGAAAGTGCTTTCTTGGTCATGTCTAGAACATTAAATAAAATTTGGAATCGCGTCACCATTTAAATTGACCTTTTATTTTTAAATGGTTAACATCGTTTCCCCTGTTCATCTCCCACTTACTTTGATATGCCTATAAAAGTGTGATAACATTCTTTTAAAATCTTTCCTCTGCTTTTAAAAATGCACAGATAGACAAGATGTAGTAAAACTAAAACTACCCCCTCCCTTTTTTTCTTAGAGTGGAGTCCTTTGAAATGTGTTGATTTTATTGTATTAATTTGATATTAGTTTTATTCATGTTTTTATGTGTATTTTGACCTTTTCTGTTTAGAATCAAATTAAATATTCCTTTGTCTTTATTTTTTCTTCTATCTTTTCATTTCCCCCAACTTTTTATTTTGAAAATTTCCAATTAATTGAAAAGTTGAAAGGTAAATACAGTGAATATACAAATACCTTCACCTATTTACTACATCTTTCATGTTTTTGCAATATTTGCATTATCTGGGTGTGTGACTTACGCTATACATACATTTTTATAAGAGTTTATTTTTACATCATTTTGTACCTTTTTCCATCTCATTTGTAATCCCCATGGACTAACCATCACCAATTCACCCCTGCGCCATCACCATAGTCCCATGCACTCCACCCCGGCCATTTTTTTTATCCCATTCCCTGCTCCACCCCCATAAAATATCTCTGGTGTATAGTTGTTCATTATTATTATTGCCCCCCTGGTCCTTTATGTTTCTGCTATGAGTGAAACCACCTGATATTTTTCTTTTTCTTTTCTTGCTTATTTCACTAAGCATGATCTTTTCCAGCTCCATCCATGTTGCTGCAAAAGGCATGAGTTTAACTTTTTTGATCGCTGAGTGATATTCCATTACACTATTTTTTTTTTGCCAAACTTTTTAAAACATTGTGACTTTTCACTCTTAAGTGAAAAAGTGCACATATCACCTTAAGAGTGCAGATACTCTCCCATACAACTACAGTTACCCTTACTAACCTCAAAAATTTAACATGGTGCTATAATGTTTTTTGATATATAGTCCATGTATTGTTTTTCCACAAAATATCTGCTATATCCCCCTATCAAGAATTTTATAATGCATTTGGTTGTCATGTCTCGGAAATTTCCTTTCATCTTAAACAGTTCCCTCATCTCTCTGTTTTTTTCTTTTTCTTTCTATCTTTCCTGACATTTTTGAGACCTATAGGCAGAATATTCTAGTCTGACAATGTTTAATTCTTCCTTATTTTGTTTAGGTTAAACACTTTACCAAAATGATATTTTTTTGATCTTGTACATATTTTTCCGCTGGCGAAGTGGACTGTTGATAAATGTCATTGTGCCTGCTGTGGGAATTTATTAAATAATTGATGTTAATAACTTGCTGAATAAATCAGTTATGTCTGCCCTATAGATAGATTTCTTTTCACCTGTGAAGTTATTGCTATGCATATACCTTTTATTATCTCAGTAGCCAAGGAGCATTGTGGGCCTGGTGAGGGCTCTGGTTCCTTGAGTTTGTAATGGATAGCTCTGGTATCTTGTGAGGTGGTTGGCACCTGAAGTAATAAGTAAGCATAAGAATTTTTGCCAAATATTTATTGAATTGAGGAAACAGCTGAAAATGTTACTTAGCTCCAGATTCAATCATTAAGAGTATTTATAAAAAATGTCCATCTTTTTCTTGTTAAGATATATATATATATATATATATATATATATAACATAAAATTTACCACTTTAATGGTTTCTAAGTGCACATTTCACTGAAACTAAATACTTTCATGCTTTTGTGCAATCATTATTACTGCCCATTTCCACAGCTTTTTCATCATCTCATATAAAAACTAACCATTAAGTGATAACTCACAATCCCATTCCCATCTATTGTTAACCTGTTTCCTTTCTGTCTTGATGAATTTCACAATTTACTTTAGTTGAATCATACAACATTTGTCCTTTTTTGTCTGTCTTAATTTTATCTATTATCTCGTATCCAAGAGTCAGCACCATTGTAGCATAATTAAGAGTATTTTTGTTTATACTTTATGTTTCAGGCAACAGAATTTATCAAACAGAACATTGTAATATCCAGTGGCTTTGTGGGAGGTTTTTTGCTCGGCCTTGCATCTTAAGGACATGAATGTTCTGTCACCATGGAGTCATATGAGAGAAGAGGAATGATGATGTCTAGGTGGTCTCTCAACATTGCACGCTGCCACATTCTCCAGGGAGGCGAAAATCAATTATAGCTGGACTGTATCAACTCACAAATTAGCATTTTGCCATCTGAAACTTGGCAATCTCCAGTATCTGCTATAAATTATCTAGTTAGTATGTGCACAATAGTATTCCTGAGCAAAACATGGCTTTCATTATTTTTTTTAAATTTGCATTTCTTTAGAAATTAGCATATAAAATATCACCTTTGGATGTAGATATGGTAAGAAAAAAACCCTGCTGGTTGTATTCCCCAGTGGAATATTATCTTTGTTTTATTTAAATAAGATGTTCTTCATTGTGCTTTATAATATATTGCCAATAATTAAAAATTTGTATTGTAGCTTCAACATTAGGGCCGTCTCTTCTTTTTTTTTAAAGATGTATTTGCAGTAAACTGAAGAACTGTTATGCCCTTTTGTGGAAGGATTTAGAAATGATAGCATTATTAAAGATATTCAACAGATTTCATACCATTTTTAAGTTGTTTTTTCTTACAATTGTTAGTTTACTTACATAATTACTATAGCAAATAATTTAAAGGAAGGTTCTTTTAAGGAAATAGTACATCACAAAAGCTCTTTTTTTTGATGTCTTTAGCTATAAAAATATTTTCTTGTATATAATCTTGTAATTTTTTAAAAAATCTATCATGGCAGCCTGGGCAGCACTAATTATTTTGAGGGCACATATAGTCAATTGGGTCAGTGATTCATTTTTACTAACATTGAGCGAGTCTCCTTTCCCAAATGCTAAGTATTTCTACAAATCCTAAGTAGTATTTTTGCCCCTTCTTCACAAAGAGGTAAAACATCAGAGTATTTAGTAAAATAGTATGAATTTACTAATTGAAGAACAATGATTTTTCTTTCACTTTAGAAATTGTGGTTCAAAGAGAATTGTCTAGTTTGAGATGGAAGTGCTAAAATTTCAGATTTTTGCCTGTGTGGTGCTGATTGAACACGAGGCCAGTGGACTTGTTCTCAGGGATAACATTCCCACACTCGCTCTCAGAGGCTCATGTGCCCAGGAAAGCTTTCTGTATTGGTAGTTTGCTTCATAGAATTCTAGGCTGGAACTTGGAAAAACAGTTGGAATCTTTAGACTGGAATGACGGGAGTCACACAGTATCCTTGATAGGAAGTCCTTCTAGTAGTTTTGTGAATTATAGACATAACCTGTTTAGTACTTTCAAGACTGATTACAAGTCAGTGTGTTTGCATTATCTTGAGATTCTTTGCAATCGAATGTAGGGTTCATCTTCAGTTTCTTCCTTTACTTTTGCTAGTACCTGATATACAATGCTAACTAAAATTCACACTTGAAGTGATTTTGCTCACACTTTTTTCTTGTTTGAGCTTTTCTTTATTTCTGCCCTGCCAAGCTTTTTTCATTGCTGTGGAATTAAAACATAAAAATATTCTATATTAGATTGAGTCTTGATCAGCTTCTGTATGTCATGTCTGTGCTTATCTCTGTACTCACCTGATAGAGAGAGGCAGATTCTGTGAGAGCTCTAATAGCTGGCTCAGTCATTTGAGAAATTTTCTGTCCTGTATGATATACTAGGAAAGTAGGGGCCATAAAAAAGTCTGCTCTGAATAGAGATTAAAATATTCCCATAGGGGGCCCTCCCTGGTGGCGCAGTGGGTTAAAGCACTGCACTAAAAAGCTAAAGCCACTTCCGCATGAGTTCGATCCCCACTCGCCCCGGAGGAGATCCACATAGCGTGGAAGACCTCTCCTGACCCGCCCGCTGCTCCCCTCAGCAGTGTACTTCGTCGATCTGCCTGTTCTGCTCCCCGCTCTGTCTCTGGTGAAGCCTCTCACCCTCCGCATCTCTGGCCTGTACCCCAGTTCTGTACGAATAAATAAATAAATCTTAAAAAAAAAAAAAAGTTCCCATAGGGGGCCCTCCCTGGTGGCGCAGTGGGTTAAAGCACAGCACAAAGAAGTTTAAGCCACTTCTGCATGAGTTCGATCCCCGCTTGCCCTGGAGGAGATCCACATGGTGCGGCAGACCTCTCCTGACCTGCCCGCTGCTCCCCTCAGCAGTGTACTTTGTCAATCTGCTTGTTCTGTACCCCGCTCTGTCTCTGGTGAATCCTCTCACCCTCCGCATCTCTGGTCTGTACCCCAGCTCTGTACAAATAAATAAATAAATCTTTAAAAAAAATATTCCCATAGGAAAAGTTACCTAATGATGTAGGAGAACTGGCCAATTGATTCAGTGACAAATGAGTAGTAAGGTAACTACTTTCAGAGTGCAAATGTAAAGGAAAACTGAAAAAGGTTAGAATTTTTATTTTTTCTTCTGTCCATTTCCAAGTGTCTGTTGGTTTGTTTGAAACTATTATTTTTACAAGTGCAAAACTAGTATTCTCCATAATGTCTCCTGTTAGTACCCCGCCCCCCATTTTGCAATTGCCTGTAATGTGTTCTACAGGAAGGAGTAATATGTGTTCATCTCTAATTTGTGGTGCACACTGTATAACCCTTTGCTTACAGTGTAGGTATTTAGTGAATGCTGTGAATGAGTGAACAAGTATGTGAAAAGCATATTACTCTGCTTGTCAACCTGTAGGAAACCTCTGACTCAGAGGCTCTATCAAAATGACCTAGTGGGGCTTGGTTGAAATGAAGCCTATATTGCCTGTCTTTGTCTAAAATGGGGATTTTTTTTTTATTTGAGGCCCTAAAGGCTGTACAATTTGTTAAAATTGGAGTATATTGCATTTAGGTATTCTGTGGCCTAGACTTTCAGTGGTCTAGGGACATTTGACTGATTTTTAGTTTTTGTTCTAATAGCCATCCCTTACCTGCCTCACACGCACACAAAGATGATTTTAATGTGTTTTATTATATCAAATGAAACATGAATGAAGCATGCTCTTTGTAGAAAAATGTGCCAGCGCTGGTCCTCCCAGGTGGCACAGTGGATTAAAGTGCAGCACTATGAAGCCATCTGTAGCCACTGCAGCTCGAGTTCGATCCTCAGCAGGGGAGGTGACCCACATGGCGTGGCAGACTCCTGACCCACCCTCTGCTCCCCTCAGCAGTGTATTTAGGTCAATTTGCCTGTTCTGCTCTCCACTTTGTCTCTGGTGAATTCTCTCATCCCCCTGCACTTCTGGCCTGTATCCCAGTTTTGCATGCAAGCATAAATAAATCTTTAAAAAAAATGTACCAGCACAAACAATATATAGAATGTTTATGATGATGTGCCAAGAGAAAGTTATTGTCTTTATATATCTCTTAACATATTTATACTTGTCCAAGTTTAAATAGTATATGTTGAATGTTCATTCTGAAAGATAAGGAATTTTGTGTGCAACTACTGTGTCACCTTTTTTGGATAATATTATTTTCAGTTCTAGTACTTGCCTTTATTACTTTAAGTATTATACCTTTCCTGTCTTTACTTACCAATTTTAGGTAATCTCTACTAGTTTCCTGAAAATAAGGGTGAGGAAATAAGCATACTTTTCCCCTGCTATTGTCTGGTCTCCTAATTTCTTAAATTATTGTTACTTTTAGTGGTATATTAAAATGACAAAATTCTATAAAATTATTAAAAGGAATATAGAAATATATAAATTGATTTGGAAAAATCTAATGATAAAATCAGGTTACAAACTATGATCTCACTTATTTGAGAAAGTACACAGGTAAACATGGAAACAGAAAATCGGTGAGGCTAACTGTGAAGTTGGCATATAGGACTTTCAGGTATTTTTGATCTTTTTATATTGTTTAAGTATGTATAGTAAGTATATGTTAATTTATAGTTAGCAGTAATTATTTCTTTAGACCAGGAATAGGAATTTAGAATTAATGCTATTGCTATTTTAGAGCTTTTTCTTACTTTCTTGCTTTATTCACTGATGTTTTCTTAAGTTGTTTTTATCAAAATAATGTACTACCATAGTTCAAGGAGTCAAATATTTATTTGACTATAAGTAAGGCTTCTATATAAAACAACAGTTCTTTGTGCTGACTCTTTCTAATTTAGTGGCTTTTTATCCAGAGAAGCTTCTGGATATTAAAGCTTCTGGATATTAAATATTAGTTATTTTTTTCTTGGTATTTCCTACAACTATAGTAGTTAGACTTTTTATTATAAGTGACTTGGACTTCCCATTCTAGTAGATGTGGATATTAGCTCTATAACACTTCTTTTGCATCCTTGTAGTTATTTATTAAATTCTTATGAAGTTTTATGCATTATTATGACTTTTTTTTTTTTTTACTGTTGAACAAAGACAACTTCCTATAGGTTTCTTTATATAGATTTAGCTAGATCCTATCAGCCTTTCCCTGATCCTGTCTGTAGCTCTGGACTATGGAAAACACAGTGGCTGGCAAAATAATGGCTCCCTCTCACTCCATAAATGTGAGTGTTCATATCCTAATCCCCTGAGACTTATGAATATATTAGGTTACATGGCAAAAGAAAATGAAAGTTGAAGATTGAATTAAAATTACTAAACCATCTCAGATTATTCTAGAGTATCCTGGTGGTCCCAGTGTCATTACTTGATTTCTTAAAAGAGGAAGAGATAGAACTATGGGGAGGGATCCGGCAGGTAATGTGTTGTGGCTTTGAAGATGAAGGAAGGGGACCATAAACCAAGGAATGCTGGCAGTTTCCTGAAGCTGGGAAAGTGAAAACAAACAAACAAAACCCCAGTTTCCCTTAGCTCCCTCCAGAAGGGAGAACTGCCAGCACCTTGTTTTCACCCTGAGACCCATGTGGTACTTACTAGCTTCATGGAATGTGTAAGGTAATTTGTGTTTTAAGCCACTAAACTCGTGATAATTTGTTATAGCAGCAATAGAAAACTAACATTGATACCACTGAGTCAGCCCTCCTGGTGGGAAGGAAGCCAGGTTTTTGTATCCTCATTATCAGGCATTGGCTACTGTCTGCCTTTAGGGGCTGAGGTGGGTAACCACCCAGCCAGGGAGGCACTGTCTAGCTGGGAGCAATTCTCATGAGGATGGTGCAACTGTCAGCCATCAGCATATGATACGACAGCTGGGCAGTGGGCGTACTGACCCAGTAAAAGGGATCTAGGTGGTACACCAACAGTTTCCACTACAGTGGTTGAGTCAAAATCAATATTGCATGTATAAAACAATAGTTATGTCTATTCGGGAATGGAAAGGCAAAAGCGTGGAACTGAAATATTTGAAATTCATAGTGTAAAGTTCTTGTTCCAAAACATTAACCTCACACTTTGAATAAACATGCATGATAAAATTTGAAGAACCGTCCCTGAATGCATTACTATTAGTTGTGAACAAATATATTTCAAACATAAATAAGCAATCCAATGTAAATGAAGGCAGGGAAGGAAGAAGCATAGAGAAATGGTAAATAGGACTCTAAAATAGATGGCAAAAGTAATTCTTAAATGTATCAGTAATCACTTCAAAAAGAAAAATGAACAGAATTCAGTGTGTTTTAT